TGTTTTTGTTTTTTTTTGCTTCTTTGTATTTTTTTCTGCAGTTATTAAAAAAATCATATGCATGGAATTAAAATCTCTGCCATATGTATATTCATTAATGGGCATTATTACTGTCTTATGTAAAGGGTTTGTTATGCAATATGCATAAAACTGTTCTCAGCCTTATGATTTCCACATCTGTATTTTTCAGTTATTTCTTCAAGGGAAACTAAATAATTTAGCTTTAGCTGAGTGTTGCAGATTTTTAGAAGGTCTCTCATATGCTGTGCTCTATTGCCGTGTCAAGAAATTACACATAGAACAAACCTGCTATTTTTCACCATGCTGGCTTCTTTGAAGCAGAATGTTTTTATTGTTTCGTCTAACCTTTGAATGTCTCTTTCCTTATGACCTAACAAAAATTTGCAGCGTGTTGAAGCCTCCACCTGTCTCATCCAGGAAAAACAACCTTCTTACCTGCAGCACCTCATATATTTCATCCTTGTATTTATGCAGCATGTATATTTATTCACTGGCATAACTTCTCCTGTGTATATGAAGTCTTTTTCCTCAAAAATGAATGAACTCTGCATTTTTTTCAGGGAAGGAAAAATAAGATCGTAAATAGCTTTATCGAGAAACACCAAGGAAGAAAATTCTTCGTATTCAAACTGCATGCCATTAGGTTTTAAAAGTTTAGATTTTTCACATGATATGTTACAATAAATCTGTTGAGTGTAATCTCTTGACTGCTAGCTTTACTGTGTTTCAAATTAACATCGAGCACTAAGTAAGATTATTTTAAATTGTAGGAAACAACCTATTAGAAAATCACTCTAAATTAAGGTTTAAACCGATGCAGCGAAATAAAAGTTAAGAACCCCACCCCCAATAGTGCAAGAAGACTATGGGAACAAACTGTCTACACCAGCAACTCGTTAATAGGAGAGTTCTGTAATGTGGGGTTTGATTTTTTTTTTTTGTCTTTCCAAAATACATTTTGCAATGAGCAAATAGTAAAATTTTGGCATCGCTGAAGAGCCTGTCTTTTTCTTTTTAACTCAGAACTTCTGTGCAGGAATTATAAATCAATGTATCGGGGAAAGGGGATATCGGGGCATTTTCAAGATCCCACAGCCACTTGATTCTAGAAAACATCTGTTGATAATGGTGGTAATACTTGTGAGAGAAACTTTTATGATGGTTGTTCGCAGTGAGGGAGTTCTGTGTGTAATTTCTGCGTATGCAACATTGCACTGAAGTAAATCCCTCAGAGATGGGATTGCTCTTACTTTGACCACGGCTGCATTCCATGCGCACCCAAGTCAGTAGGGTGCCTCGGAATTGTAAGATTGCATCTCCTCCCTTTGTATTTGCCATTTAGTTTCCTTTAAGAAGTTAAAAGGGAGAAGAGGTGTTTTATACAGGCTATTGACTCTCCCGATACTTAAAAATATATTACCTAGATAATTGTATATTCAGTTTAATTACTCACTGTTTCTATACTGAAAGAAGACTTAACGAAGGGAAAAAAAAAAAACAACAGCAATAACATTCATATCTATGGAGCAGCTAACTAGTATACCTAATACTCTGCTTTTCAAACAGAACTAGCCAATGTAAAAAAATAAAGAAGTAAATTCAACGTGTAAATACTTTTTTTTTCTTTTTTTTTTTTCATTTTACACTGTTGTATTATAAGTGTATATGGTGTTTACTTTTTCAAAACTCTTTCTTACCTGGTAGTTGTCTTGTTTTATGAGTTGTGTTTTTAACTAAGAAGAACTTTTGCTGTCTGTTAGGAAAAACGAAACAAAAAAAAAACTTTTGCAAGTTTTCAATGTGGGTTAACTTTTCGTCATTTGCATTTTATTTGTCCTTATTTTCATTGTAAAGTATTTTATTATTAAAAAAATAAAAGTTGATTCGTCCCCCTTCCCCCGTCAGCTCATGTCTTTTAGAGGGAGGTTGTGTTTTTTGGAGGTGTTCTTTTGTTTTTTAAAATCAAATGAATTCACAGAAATGACTTTTTTTTTTTTTCTTTCAATCGAGGGGGAAAAAAAAATCTATACGTTTATAATAACCAATAGCATTTCAGCACATTTTGTTATCCTGGTCTCTCCTATGCTGCTGCTAATGACAATATTATGACTTACTCTACTATTCTAGAACTATTTTTATGTAATTAATGTATGCTTTCTTGTTTATAAATGCCTGATTTAAAAAAAAAAAAAAGAAAAAAGCTTGGCATATTTATCTACTTCGCTGTGTACCTTGATAGTCCTTTTACATCCCCTTTTCCACATCCCCTCCTCTGAAACAGATAATATTGTAAAATAAAGGACTTTATGAGATTATGTATGAAAATAGCTATGCTTATATACCACAGTGACTGAATGTACAGTGTATAGACGCATTACCTAAAATAAAATTGTTTGTCCAGAAAACAACCATCGATAAGCTACGTTCTTTGAATCTCTCAGTACTGGCATGGTGGCCTAAATTCTCAAGAGTGGCTAGGCCCGGCTCCTCAAATGTATTTAGGCACCTACCTCCCATTGGAGCAATCTAGCTCATTAGCTTAAAGGGGCCTAAATTTCAGAAAGTGACTGAAAATCAGGCTCCTTCAACATGTTGTGACTTGGGCACCCAAAACCAGGAGTCATTCTTGATCATTCAGGCCTGTGGGTTTGTCCCTCTCTCTCACACGTCAGCACATCAGGAAATGTTCAGTAGCATTTCCCTCTAGCTTCTGTCAGGATAATAGTCACCCCAGCTCATCTCTGCTCAAAAATGTGATCCTATTCACCACTCAAAAGCCCCTCCCTTCATATGCGGCAAAGTGCCGTGTGCAGTAGAGTGAATTTCTATGATGGTAATGCCAAAGGTCCCAATGACAGTCAGGTCCCAGTTACACTAGGTGCTGTGGAAACACAGGACAAGGCACACGCCAGCCTGGTGAACATTTACTAAGATTACCATTCTTCACGGTTAGCTGTGAGTGATGCAAGGTTTGGGCGCAGCAAAAGATTCCCATTGAATTAAAAGGGAGCAAGATACACATTGAAGAGTAGACCCTTCCCTTATCATAAAGCCACTCCCCTCCTCTAATATTAAAGGGACTCAGGCTCATGCCCAAAACTCAGGTGATAAGGCTATCTTGAAGGCAGTGAGGGAAAGGCTGAGAGAGTGGGGCAGGAGGCTAGTGCATGACTCTTGGCAATAACAAAAGGCTGGGTGTTAATGTGCTCTCAGTAAAAGAGGTAGGAGGGAATGAAGGAAGGGGAGTTTGCATTTCTCCCATCACCTATTTTAAGCCCTTTGCTAATCAGTGATCTGTGCAATGAGAACCTTGCTGCACTTAGAACAATCATTGGTCAACATTGTCCTCACAATCTCCACCCAAACATGCCCCACCAACACCTCGTAAGGAGCTTGACTGACTGCTATTGACAGATGGTTGAGGGAGTGAATTAAGAGACTATGCATCATCCTGATATACCTAGACTCCTAGAACCATAGGGCCAATTTACCCACCCACCCCGCTTTGTTCTCCTGAGGTAGGTAAATGGCATTCCAATACAGGTTGTCTACTGTGTATGGATCTTTCAGAGAAGGATTTAAAAACCAGGGTCCTGGCTAGTCCGCATGGTCAGTGAAGATACTCGAGTAGGACATTTCCTGCGACCCCGAGGCAGTTGATTGCCTTCCACACAATGTTAGATGAAGTAACGCCTGTGTGTATATATCACTGTTAAACCAGGTTGAGAGTCCGTCTGCATGAAAGTTAGTTGGTTCTCCTCTATTTCCAGACTGCGACTGTGGTGTGGGATAGCCCTCCCTTTTAGCACTAAGGAAAGGCGGATTGCGACCCCCCCCAGTACACATCCACTCCGCAAATCTGGGCACTCTTTCAATGGCTCACAGTGCTGTTTTCCCCACACACGCCGCCCCCCATTATCCTCTGTTTAATATGTGTGTGTTACTCTAGTTCTGTATTTCAAAAGTCCAGGGAAACCTTTAACACCAGAAACAGGAAGGACATTTTAGGGCAGAAGAGTGCCCAGAATTTGGCTCTAAGATTCTTAAGAGGGGAGAAAATGAGCAGCTGTTATATTGGCCTTGTAGCTGTCTAGGTTAGGAAACAGAAGCATTTAAGACAAAGATTGTGTGACATTGGATGCTCTGCACACATGGTTCCTTCAGTTTTCTGCAAATTTAACTATATCATCACTTTGTCCCAACAGCAAACTGGCTCTGGGGTGGTCCAGCAAAGCTCCTATAGGATTCTTTTCAGAGTAGCAGCCGTGTTAGTCTGAATTCGCAAAAAGAAAAGGAGTACTTGTGGCACCTTAAAGACTAACAAATTTATTTGAACATAAGCTTTCGTGAGCTACAGCTCACTTCATTGTAGCTCACAAAAGCTTATGCTCAAATAAATTGGTTGGTCTCTAAGGTGCCACAAGTACTCCTTTTCTTTATAGGATTTCTGGAACTATAACTCCCTACCCACAATGGCCAGTGTTCCCAAAGACTTCAGCGTCTTCCCCTGAATAAACCTAATGTCTGACAGGGTCTGGATTAGCCACTGCATAACCATAATCTGCATCCTCCATAACCCTTTTCACTGGCAGGGGAAGGCGGGGAGAGTTAGGGGGGTTGACATGCACTAGGAGGGAAAGACGTATTATCCCCATTGTTAAGACTAGGAGGCTCACTCAGAGATGTTATGTCTGGAATTTTCACAGGTGGCCAACTTCCATTTTTTCAGGCAACTCAGTGCCTTTGTCGGGCAGGCCCTTGCTCACTGTGGTGTACGCAGGTTTATAAATGGCCTGTGACCCCTGTCCTGCTAGGCAGGCATTCTTCCCAATCCCACTAGCCCAGATTTAAGCTGCAGCACATGTAATTAGGCAGGTCATCAAAGTCTTATGGCCTGGTTCTATCAGGTGCTGTGCATTCTCGCCACTTGTAAAAAAAATAAATAAAAAAATCAAGCCCTAATGGATTCTCACCAGGTTCCAAGCTTGCTTGTTCCTGAACATCCCGTCAGCTGATAGCATTGGGACTCAGGTGACCTGGCTTCTGTTCACAGGTCAGCTACTGGTCCCCTGGGTGACCCTGTAAAATGGGGATAAGAATAGTGTAAAGATCTTTCAGATTTGCTGCTGAAAAACACTATATACAAGCTAGGAATTATTATTGCTACGCCTGTATGCCTCAGGCACACTATATTACCCCCAGACCCATGCTATGAGCAGCAATGTACACAGTGACAGCAGCACTGCATAGTTTGTGTTCCAGTCCTCTGAAAACACCATGCATTTAAACTCTGCCTTTGACTAGGATCCCTTACTTTCTGTCCCATTAGTAGTTGCTTTCACATGCAAGTTTTGCGGCTAGATGATTTAGTTTCAGAGTAGCAGCCATGTTAGTCTGTATCCGCAAAAAGAAAAGGAGGACTTGTGGCACCTTAGAGACCAACAAATTTATTTGAGCATAAGCTTTCATGAGCTACAGCAGCCGATGCAGTGAGCTGTAGCTCATGAAAGCTTATGCTCAAATAAATTTGCTAGTCTCTAAGGTGCCACAAGTCCTCCTTTTCTTTTTGTAGATGATTTAGGTTGATTAAAAATGATAGATATTGGATACTAGTATAATCAAAGAGCATTCCAGTTCCAGGCCACCTGCAAGAGCCAGAAAATAAGTGAGAGAGAGAGAGTGAGTGTGTGACACACTCTCTCTCTCTCTCACCACCACAAAGAAAAAGTCAAGTGAATGCTCTGTGCATGGGGTCACGGTGTGGTTGGTCCCCTTATGCCAGCACTGCTGTCCCATACCCTGTGGGGAGTTCCACCCTCCACCGGAGCATTCACCAGCCTACTCAGCCCATGCCGGTTATGCCCACTGCTAACAGCCAGGATGTGGAGGGAGGGAATGGGAACAAACAAACAAAAGGATGAGTCAGAAATATAAGGTAGAATAAAAACAAAACCAAAAAAACAAACCAATCCTGCTGATCCTTCTCTGGCTTTTCCAGAGTTTTACAAGGGTATACTAAGAAATGGCCCAGAGCTGTGGAAATTCTGCTGCCATTTCTCAGAAAAACCATAAGAAGAGTTGCCACAAATTACTTTAACATATGTTTCCATCCTCTTCTTTCTGCCTTTTTCCCTTTTCTATTTCTTTTGTTTTTTTATTGAGCATTAATTTTTATGTACATTTACATTTCTTGCTTTTCAACAGAAAACGGACTTACTTTTTCACAGGGAAATTGCAGCTAAAGTAATTGCATGTGTGTGTTTTCCACCCTGCATTATACTGTCATAGGGCTCAGCAGCGGGGCACAAAACAATTGTCTATGCCTGCATGGTGCTTCTAGAAGCCTGTTGCTAAGCTGTCTGGGATATGACGCAGAGAAGGTTCTGCAATAATGCTCAACCCTGTGTTGTCGCTGGGCGTGTATGTCTTAGAACATACAAAACTGTGCATGCAGATTTCTGGTATGCCCAAAGAGCCCAAACGCAGGAGGTGCTCAATGTTTTTCTTTCTGAGGCCCCCACCAATATGCTATAAAAAAATCCACAACCCACCTGTGCCACAATAACTGGGTTTCTGCATATAAAGCCAGGGCTGGCATTAGGGAGTAGCAAGCAGGGCAACTGCCTGGGGCCCTATGCCACAGCGAACCTACATTGCTCAGGCTTCAGCTTCAGCCCTAGTCCCCAGAAAGTCTAACACTGGCCCTGCTTGGCGGTCCCCCCTTCCTCTCCAAAACCTGTTTGTGGGCCCCCCGGAGGGCGTCCCAGACTCCTGGCTGAGAACCACTACGATACAGGGCTATAGTTTGAAGTGTAGGCATTCCCTCTCAGGCTGGAGCCCTCGATGGGTTTCAGAGCCCAGGCTCCAGCCTGAGTCCAAATGTCTATGCTGCTGTTTTTAGCCCCGTAGTATGAGGTCTCTGAGCTGCTGGGCTCGTTTTTTGCAGTGTAACCATTAGCCAGGGCCATGGGAGACCATAGCTTTGGTTCTCTGCTCTGCCACAGACTTCCTGAGTGACTCTGGACAAATCACTTAGTCCGTGGCTGGGCCTCATTCCCTTCTGTAAAATAGGGATAGGAGTCCTACCCTCCGTCATGGGGGGTGTAGGTAGGATAACTATATTAAAGACTGTGTGGTGCTCAAAGAGTCTGGAATGGGGCGGGGGGGGCCCTAGCACTACCTTAGGTAGCTAGAGCTTTCAAATGATCAGCAACCACAACTGGGTGCAATTTTTCAAAAGCACTCAGCACCCAATTTATTTTGGTACCTAACCTGAACAGCTGGCTCATAAAGATAGAGAGAGAGAGTGTAACTTCCCCCACACACTGCCTCCCACCAGCATGGTGGAGCAAAGCATCTCGTGTCTATAGCACATTCCATCCTGCACTGTCTGCTGAGATTCCCAACACAATTATGGTGGTGATTTTTTAGCAACAGGGACATGTATCTAGTGGGAACCGCTTTGAAGCCTGCAAACTAATTTCACTTTGACCACCAGGTAGGCATCAACTTTTGGGCATAGCTAGAGCTGGATTCAAACCAACGAGAGCTGGATTCAAACCAACGACGAAGCAGTGAAAGACGCAGTCCCCCTTAGCCATCAAGTCTCTCACAACCATCGTATTTATGATCCCCCCACAGGCCAAAAGGAATTGCCATCAGAACAACAAGGCTTTTCGATTTCTCTTTCTTATGATCCAGGCCTCTCATCTCTCCCCAGGCTTGTCCCTCTCTTTTGCTAATGCCTTGTCCCTAGCCTCATCACAGCCCTTGAGCTTTTAGCATCTGAACGTTTTTAGTTCTGCAGTGCTCTAGGACTATGGTGACAATTACCAGAGAAAGCAAAGCTCATGCACCGGAACGGCCCCTGCTCTATAACTAAATGAACAAGCCACTTGTGACGCCAATGGACATTTCTGGTTTAGGAGTAATGGGAACTGAGCAGATCCTTTCTTCCCCCAGCTCCCAACGGGGAGAGCGTACCCATGTTGGTGTTTGCTAAAAGCAAAGGGTTGGTGTGAACCAGGTGCACCAGTCCAGGAGTTTATGTGGGGTTCTCTTTAGGTCGTGGAGCAGAGTCGTGGCAGCACAACACTAATGTAACATGAGGGCTCTCTTCATTTAATTTTATGTGCCCTATATACGAACCCAGTGCCTGGAAATAAGAGAATGGAAAGAAACTGTACTCATCGGTCACTGCATGACTCCCGTCTTCTAGTTCATAAAGCTAAGTCTGCAACCATTTCCACTTCAAAGAACCGAGACAGATTGACCCACAGATGCTTCCGAATGCCAGAACACAGAGAGTCAATATTTTTATTCAAACAACAATGCGGATTAAGGCTCTCCCTGCAAACACCCAAGTGCTCAACTACATACATGAATAGTCCCACAGACTTCAAGTTAAGCATGTGTGTGTTTGTGGGATTGGCACATCAGAGGCCTGAAAATGCAACTGCCAAATTAAGGACAACACACAAGTAACCCGGACCTCAGTGAAATAGGGTTTTTCCATCCATCTCCACTCCCAACTGACTGGACCCTTCATCTGTTTGTCTACGTACACAGTTCCACATACTGGTCCCTTTACCTGTGTACCTGCTCTGCCCCTGCAGACACAAATCCACCTGCAGGTCCCTTCATCTATCCACCTTTTTAAAAAAAATTTTTTTTCAAGCCAAAATTAAAATATAAAATACTCAAATTATCTGCCTTGTACTGAAAATGGACATTTCCAGTCAAGTATGCAAATGTCAAGCATACTTTGGTCTCTTCCCCACCCTCCTTCTCCCCACTTGCTTAGATAAACCTCTAATATTTTACTTGAGATAAAATCCCAAGAACTAGGCCTGCAGAAACTGAGTTGCCAGTTATTTTCAGCAAGACTGGCTGTGTTTCTAACAGCACACCAGCTTGCCTTGTTCTTGGAACTTTTCAGTATTTTTGGAAAAAGAAAATGTCTTCAAAAATAAAATAACTGTTCTTACTTTGCAGGGAGGAGGAGTTACTTCCCTTTCCCCTTAAAATATTCACCAGCTCATTTTCTTACCATGCAATTTTACATTTCTTTCAGTGTGGAATATGGGGGCAAGTTCTGACCTCATTTACTCTGCTGCAAATTCAGACTCACTCCACTGAAATCAATCCAGATTTACACTGGCATAGTTGACAGCAGAACATGGTCTACGCCAAGGATTCTCACAACAAATTTTTGGGTGGGCTCAGAATGTAGCCACCAACTTTTGCTGGTGGCCGCTCTGACAATTTGTCCTAAAATACTTAATTAACTTTAGGAAAAGCAAATAAATATGCACATATGTCCAAATCATTGTCATTTATTTATGTAGGTTTTTTTTTTGCAGACTCAATCATTAAAAATAATGTACAGTTGTCTCTATTCTTTACTGAACCTAAACAGAATAAAAACACAAATAAGGTGCTTTAAATGTTTTGCTTTTTTGGTTGCTTTTTATTTTTTTTAGACTTGCTAGCTAGTAAGTCTGCTACTGTGAAAAGTGACATTTGTATATTTGTTAATATCACTTTTCACAGCAGACTTGCTAGCTAGCTGGGAGGCTGTGAAAAGTGATATTAACAAACATACAAATATGACTTTTCACAGCAGACTTACTCAGCCCTGGCAAGCTGGGGGACTAATTATGCCCTAAATGGGGAGGTGGATAGGGGGCCAAGGGGCGATGGGGATTAGCCCAGGGCGGGACCCTGGAGTCCTGCTGCACAGATGGGGACTGGAGGAGGCAGCAGGGGCCAGGGGCGATGTGCGGGGGATGAGCCCAGAGTCAGAGCCCAAAGCAAAGCCGGAAGCCCTGCAGCTGGGGGACGGGGCCTGCTGCCGCATGACCAGAGTCTGCCGCCCACCACCCCAGGGCTGAAGCCCAAGCCTCACCCTCCCCAGGAAGGTGTGGAAGTCATGCTGGCTGCCTGCTTCTACAATGTTTGTTGCTCCAAAAGAGGACAGGGACCAGCCCCTATTGGTGGCCCCGGGGGAGGGGCTGCTGCTTTGCCCCCCCCCCCCCCCCCCCAATCCCCGGCTAGGACGCTGTGGCCATAAGAAAAGC